AATCACAGATCAATGATACACAACCATAAAATATACATGACAGGCTCCTAATTCTGGCCGACACTAATTGCGAGTTTGTCAGACGGTGTGAGTGCTGAAAGCGGGACACTGCGAAGGGAGTTAATGCAGATTCCTCTAGTTTTTTTTTAGCATCTCTCTAACAAAACTGCAGAAATGGGAGTGTCGCCATTGTACTGCACACAGTTCCCTGTACAGAAAACGTCTTGTACTTGCAATCCCCCTGTGACACGATGTCAGCTATTTAAGTGTGATCACGGCCATATTCAGGAACCGCATTGTAATTAATTATTTTAGTTAATTTATTTCATCCTCAGGGGACTTGTCAATTTAATGTAGGAGTCTAATCGCAGCCTTTTCTTTGAGCCGTGCTTGAAGAAGACCTTGAGAAAATCGTCTTTGTCAGGTGTGGCCTGTCTCATCGCCACCTGTAAATTGTCCACTCTCTCATAGCTCTCGGGGTCCTTGGCTCCACTTGCCCTGTTCGCTGAGCTGTCCGTCTAAGTGCCTGAGCCGGGGCATCGCACTCCCTCTTCGGGGATACCAGATGTCCCCCTCCGCCCCCAAGGTCCAAGGCCTCTTTGCTGGGCCGATCTGCGCCCTCTGTGATGGGCACATCCCGCAGAGAGCTGCATGGGGACTCCTGGGTGGATTGTCTGGTTCCAAAGACTGTTTCATTATTGCTGTCATCCCTCATCACCTCAAATGTGGCCACTCATTAGAGAGCCACGAAAGAGATATTACTCATGCTGAAGGTAACCTACCTGGCTGTGAATGCCATTCCCTGGTGCAGAATCATAAGTGAATATCAGCTACTTGCAGTTACTTTCAGTTATTTATAATGAACCCCGGAAAAGAGAATATTTGCAGCGGCCTCTGAGATTCTTTCTTAAAATGGGTAAATAGGTAATTGACTCATTCCACCCTTTGTGAGAAATAATCAGTTAGAAAGTAATTAGAAAGGAGGAATAAACCATGTCCTTGATCCTCAAATTCAGAAATAATGTTATTGTTTTTGTTATTGTAGCATGGTCAGAATCATTTTCAGGCTGTTTAATATCCTCATAATGACCATTGAGCTCTGTTGGTATGTGAAATATTCAAGTCATGATCATTAATGGAAATTACAGAAGATGGGAAAGATTAGGAAAGGCTAAATTATATTAATACGTTTCCACAGTCAATACTCAATACTAGAAGAAGATTTGGACCTGTTTTATGCATTCTTTCTTCACAACCGGCTATAATTTGCAGAGGACCAACAAGATCATGCGATCTTTGCTGTAATTCGTCAGTAATTCCTCGCTACAATGAAGACTTTCCAAGGCCGTGGCTGCTTACGGGACCCGCACATCCGACTGTTGTCAGCCCATTCCAGAGATGAATCGTTGCCGGCTGGCAGCTCAGCAGAAAATGCCTTTCGATTTCAAATACCACTGGTTTCTCCGGGCGTAGAAAAGCATCTTCCCAGCGAAACCTCGTGTGTCAGAGTGACACAGTATTACAATAAACTGAGATGTCTGTGATATAGCAGAAAACTTGTCAAAATAGTTAGTTTATTACAATAAATAAACAGCGAACACGGACACTAGATGCCCCAACATCTATCGATATCCTGAGAAATAACGTCTAGGTAGAATTTCATTAATTATTTCTGTTTTTTTCTTTGGTCAGTAATACAATATTATATATTATACACCTGAACTAGCTGACAAAGTTTTGCCAGGAGCTTTCCACACTTGTTTTAGTCAAATCCTAAAATACATTATGCTTTATGCTAATCTGTCAAAAGAATATAGAATATATTTTTATCGATATAGAGTACAGACCACATCTATTAAGTTATCCTGGTAAAGACAAAGAAGCCTCTGTCTGAGATTTCAAGAGATTCAAGAGATTTCAAGGTTCTTTATTCGTCACATACATAGTTATAACAACATGAAGTGAAATGATCCATGACCGATCCAAAGACGAAAAAGAGTAAACAGAGTAAAAAAGTGCAGACAATATGAATATAAGAAGTGCAGACGAATAAGAATGAACATCTTGAACATCTTGAGTTCCCAATCTGCTGAGACGTGCACCACCCTCAGGCTTCATTAGATGCATCTCTAGTCTTCAAATGCATAAGCTGTTTGAAGGATAAAGAGCTTATCGATGTTTGGTGATGACTGTGCGGAGACACCAGCAGCCTTCTCCAGCGTACTTGTATCTGTTGTCTGTCTTTGGCTATACAAAGGTAGTGTCATGAAGATGGATTATGAGTTGGCCCATATGTTTAAATCACTGTTTCCCAATCTATTCCTCAGGGACCCACAGACAGTCCATGTTTTTGCTAAGGAGCTGGGAGGGAACAATAACATGGACCAACTGTGGGTCTCTGAGGACCGGGTTAGGAAACACCGGTTTAAATAAATGAGAAGAGAGACTTCTCTAGCTGTTAGCTCATCAAAGCAAGAGGCATCCTGCAGGAATGTGAGTCCTACTCACTCTTATAACTTTACTATGATGTCTGCAGTTGTCTACAGCCACAGCTGTGGTGGGAATCAGGTGAAATATTGACCTTCTTCTGTTGTGTTATAAGGCCTGATTTCAAAGCCTGCAGCCTATAGGGTAACAAGGAGTGAGTTCCTTTTAGCACAAAGGATGTGTGTCCTGGTCTTTACCCCTCCCAAGGGGTAAAGACCGGGGTGTTGGGTGTTTAGCAGGAGACCAATAGTGGCATCAATTGGCCATTCTAAACTGGTAGATGAAGGAATAGAAGAGAATGATGATACTACACTCATCTGCTCTTTTCTGTCTTGCTCTCCATGAGACACAATGACACATATACAAGTAAGAGCAAGTTTGGGTTAAATGGCACAGAGTTGGTCTGCATTCCTTGCCCTTGGAACAATTGGGCTAAGGGTCTTGCTTGAGGGCCCAACAGTGCAACGTTCCGTCAGCCGCAGCGTTCTAACCAGCATCCATCTGATGACAAGTAACAAGCACACACTGCTCCAGCAATTGACTTACTGATATGATATCATGAATTATATAAAAAAAGAAGCTGTTTTTCCTCTCAAACATCAGGGCGGGGGGGGGGGATGGGGGGTAGTGCTTCTGCCAGTGGGATTCATGGCGGATTTTTGCCTCTTAAGATTCATCAGGCAGAAGTGATTTTCCCTGAGAGCAGCAGGCAGCATGGAGAATTAATCTATAGGTTCTTGTTCCAAATCCCAGCAGTACTTCCACTGAGTGAGGTGCTTAACCTGAAGTGCCCCAGTGAAATATCCATTAAACAGTTTTAGGTAAGAATGCGAATGCTGTAGTTATACGGAATTCAATTTTGTTCTTCACAGGCATTCAGTCTGTGTGTGCGAGCAAAACCCCCCAGTAAGACCTCCATTCATCACTGTCTTCCTGGGGAGGTATCGGAGTGGCCACTGCCGCCTGCTGAACTTACACTAATGTTTCAAACATTTTAAAAGCAAACTTTAAAAACTGCTATTCCTATTCCAAACGTGTGAAAAAATGAAGATGCTGAAGCCTGTGATAGGCCGCTTAGACCGGGGTCTCCCAATAGATGGTCAAATGGCAAATCTTTCAAATGTGTCAAATGATCTGTCGACGCCCCCCCGCCCCCTGAATTTGAAACCTAACAAAGAAGCCCATCCCAGGTAAAACAGGGCTGAGGACAAGGGACACCAGTTCCACATGGCTTTGGACTCTGGGAGGAGACTCACGCAAACTCTAATAACCCATGGCTGAAAGTAGGAATCAAACTTCCAACCCT